AATAAAATTAAGCGAACAATACATAACTCTAAGTATAAGAACTACATTCCATAACTAACAAACTCCCTAAATATTTTTATAAATCATGTGGTAAATAATAATAATAATAATAACAATAATTTAATTTAATCTACATATTCACCCCACCCCGAAAAAATTTCCAAAAATTGAAAACTGGAGATTTCATCCCACCCCAAGAAAATTTTTAGAAATTAAAAACAGGAGATTACACCCAACCACGGAACCACCCCACCCCAACGGAAAAAAATCTCAAAAAATTGAAAACGATTTCCCACCACATCCCCTCTACGATAGAAAAATCTCCAAAAATTGTGGTGGCGATAGTGGTGCATTGTAGGCGACCGGATTTGTGACTAATTGTGTTATCCGTGACTAGATTTATTATTTGTGACCATACATATGTTACACGTGACTATTTGTGATCAAATTTATTTTTAGTATGATTGTTTGTGACTGTCCAATTTGTAATTATATGTAACTAAGTTACTGATCCGTGTTATATGTGACTAATTATGAACAAATTTATCTTTGATATGACTATGTCAATCTTAACTAGGACGTATGTGATTAAGTCACAATCGGTCACAATTAACACATTCACAACCAGTTACAATAAACACATGATTTTAGATAGTCACCACAAACAAATTTGCACACACCGCAGACCAGCACCACAATCACCTCCAATGCACCACCACTATCACCTTCAACTCAAATTCACGATATAAATACTACTTTCACTAACACTTATTATCTTGACCAAATTTGTCTTTAATATGATTGTCTGTGACCAAGTCGGTCTAATTTGTCAGTATACGTGACCAAGTTACATACAATCATAGTTAAATAGACCTGGTCTCAAACAGTTACAATGAAGATAGACTTGATCATACCCGATTTTCGCTATTACCACTTCTACACCACCACCACTCCCAACAACGTTAGAACAAAAAAGGTACCACCAACACCTTCAACAAATCTCCACCACCACCACCACTGCACCACCACCGCCATATTTAGATCACGCTACTTGCAGTGCGGTGCCACCTTTGAAGCTTCCAAACACCGGCCAATCACCACACAAGCTGCCGAACTCCACCACTAGCATGACCACCTAAACCTCATCTACAAACCTTGACCAACATTTCGACCTATATCATCCAAAATGCACCAAAAATCAAGCTAAAAACTAGTAGCTGCGGACTTTTTTGGGCGGCACCACCTTCACCAACGATGTCCATGTCGGTACCATCACATCGGTCGACCATACTCATCAAGGGGCATCCCATTTCGGTCTCAATTTTCGACGCTAACAATGAGCCCCACGATCGGGAACCACCTTCTCCAGCATCCCCACACCATGCCGCATATATTGATATCATGGGCTTCCATCGATTTGATCAGAAGATAGAGAGAGGAGGGGTTGCATGGGTGCGTGGGTAGGTAGAGATGGTGATAAAAGAGAGAAGATAGATGCTGACCTTTACCGGTGGAGTTGGATATTTAAATATGTATTAATTAAATTAATAATTCTTAATTAGCACCTGATTTTTGAATTTAAAACCAATCATCGTTTATGAAAATTGATCTTTAAATGTAGGTTTCTAGATATTTTTGATTTGACGAGTTGTGTCGCTTGATTTTAAAAACTTTTTGATACAAATGTTGAATAACATTTTCATATAATAACCTTAATTTCCCTTTGCAACAGTTGCATCCTTTTTTGAGATCATGGCTTTTGATTAAAAGTTGATATGCTACTTACAAGGCATTCGAGTTTGTAATTTGAAGAGTTAATTTTCCAAGATTACTCCATTTGCACATTAATTTTTACCACATTCTTGACATAAAAAATGTGTTGGCAAAAATGTGTTGGATGAAAATGTAGTTTTTTTTTTAAACTGTTAAATGACAGAATATCATGCGACATTCTATTAATAGAATGTATCAAGTATGATTGATTTTCCAAGATATTTTTCCATAAATTTCGCAAACACCCTCTTCTTAAATCCCGTCAAATAAGTTTTTAATTTAATTTAATTTAATCTACATATTCACCCAACCCCGAGAAAATTTCCAGAAATTGAAAACTGGAGATTTCATCCCACCCCAAGAAAATCTTTAGAAATTAAAAACAGGAGATTACACCCAACCACGGAACCACACCACCCCAACGGAAAAAAATCTCAAAAAATTGAAAACGATTTCCCACCCCATCCCCTCTACAATAGAAAAATCTCCAAAAATTGTGGTGGCGATAGTGGTGCATTGTAGGTGACCGTATTTGTGACTAATTGTGTTATCCGTGACTAGATTTATTATTTGTGACCATACATATGTTATACGTGACTATTTGTGACCAAATTTATTTTTAGTATGATTGTTTGTGACTATCCAATTTGTGATTATATGTAACCAAGTTACTGAACCGTGTTATGTGTAACTAATTATGACCAAATTTGTCTTCGATATGACTATGTCAATCTTAACTATGACGTATGTTATTAAGTCACAATCGGTCACAATTAACACATTCACAACCAGTCACAATAAACACATGGTTTCAGATAGTCACCACAAACAAATTTGTACACAACGCAGACCAGCACCACAATCACCTCCAATGCACCACCACTACTACCTTTAACTCAAATTCAAGATCATAAATACTACTTTCACTAACACGTATTATCTTGACCAAATTTGTCTTTAATGTGACTGTCTATGACCAAGTCGGTCTAATTTGTGAGTATAAGTGACCAAGTTACATACAATCATAGTTAAATAGACATGGTCTCAAACAGTTACAATGAAGATAGACTTGGTCATACCTGATTTTCGCTATTACCACTTCTACACCACCACCACTCCCAACAACGTTAGAACCAAAAACGTACCACCAACACCTTCAACAAATCTCAACCACCACCACCACCAGTATCGCTAGACTACCACCGCCATATTTAGTCACCCTACTCGTAGTGCGGTGCCACCTTTGAAGCTTCCAAACACCGGCCAACCACCACACAAGCTGCCGAACTCCACCACTAGCATGACCGCCTAAACCTCATCTACAAACCCTGACCAACATTTCAACCTATATCATCCAAAATGCACCAAAAATCAAGCCAAAAACTAGTAGCTGCGGACTTTTTTTGGGCGGCACCACCTTCACCAACGATGTCCATGTCGGTACCATCACATCGGTCGACCATACTCATCAAGGTGCATCCCATTTCGGTCTCAATTTTTGACGCTAACAGTGAGCCCCACCGCACGATCGGGAACCACCTTCTCCAGTATCCCCACACCATGCCGCATATATTGATATCATGGGCTTCCATCGATTTGATCAGAAGATAGAGAGAGGAGGGGTTGCATGGGTGGGTAGGCAGGCAGAGATGGTGATAAAAGAGAGAAGATAGATGCTGACCTTTACTGGTGGAGTTGGATCTTTAAATATGTATTAATTAAATTAATAATTCTTAATTAGCACCTGATTTTTGAATTTAAAACCAATCCTCCTTTATGAAAATTGATCTTTAAATGTAGGTTTCGAGGTATTTTTGATTTGACGAGTTGTGTCCCTTGATTTTAAAAACTTTTTGATACAAGTGTTGAGTAACATTTTCAGATAATAACCTTCATTTCCCTTTGCAACAGTTGCATCCTTTTTTGAGATCATGGCTTTTGATTAAAAGTTGATTTGCTACTTACAAGGCATTCGAGTTTGTAATTTGAAGAGTTAATTTTCCAAGACTACTCCATTTGCACATTAATTTTTACCACATTCTTGACATAAAAAATGTGTTGGCAAAAATTTATTGGATGAAAATGAAGCTTTTTTTTTTTTTAAACTGTCAAATGACAGAATATCATGTGACATTCTGTTAATAGAATATATCAAGTATGATTGATTTTCCAAAATATTTTTCCATAAATTTCGCAGATACCCTCCTCTTAAATCCCGTCAAATAAGTTTTTTTATTCGATTTACAAATCAAAAGTTGAGTCAGTCGGTTCCTTTGTGACGATGTTGCTAAATCATTTGGAATGAAATTTGTTTTATTCTAGAAGTGATTGCTAAAAAACCTTCAAAGCTAGAAGAGGAAAAGATTTCTTGAGGATCAACTGAGATCATCTCTTTAATTGCTTCTTCAAATTTATTGTAAGTTGAATTAATTGTGTTTATAATGCAATTTATTTTGTATGATTGTTTTGCTAGATGAATAAATATTGCAATACACCTTCTTAGTGTAGCATGAACTACATTATCTTTCTCTGAACACAACAAATGAAAATAAATTACAAATTCTATCCCAAATGAATTGTGCATGTTTGACTTCAATTAAAAGTTATTTTGTAATTAAAAATAAATTTTATAAAACAAATTACTAAAAAATAAATTTAACGAGGAGATGTTTGAGCCCCTTTAAAAGGTTAAGAATGTATTTTGAAATAATAAATTAATGCAGAATGCGTGGTTAAAAAATAAGAAATTTTTTTGAGTTAGCATGAAATATTATTTTTTAAAAAAATGTGTAATTGAAAAGAATAAAGGGAAAAATATATTTTAAAAGAAATGAAAATAAGGCCTTACCCCACTATGACGCTTGCTCTCATTCTCACCCTGATTTGAAGATGCTAGGGACATATATTCACACTTGCTCAAAGGTTGGGAGTCCAATTCTAATTTTTCCAATTATTTGTATAAACCAGTCAGGTTTCCACGTGCTCCTATGAACTCTCTCCCCACCCTATCCCACCCACGCCCTCACCATTTCTACTCACTTCAATCCCATATTCTGCACTCATCCATTTTCTCTATGTATATGTAAAGCCATTTTCAATTATTAAACTTTGAAGCCATTTTTCTTACCGAATATGCAACCGGAAAACCGAAAGGAAGAGGAAAAATCAAGAACCCTATAATCAAAATTTATTTTTATCAACTAGGCATAAAAGATTTTTGAGCAAAAATGGTGATGGAAGTGGTGCATGAAGATATGGGAGAAGGCAACATGCAATGTGCAGATCACCCCTACAAGAACAGCACCCCAGGTGGAATCTGTGCTTTTTGCCTCCAAGAAAAGCTTGGAAAACTTGTGGCATCCTCTTTTACTTTAGCCGTTTTCCCTTCTTCTTCCTCTTCTCCTTCTCCCTCTTTTAGATCTGACTTTGGTGGCGGCGGCAACGCCACCGCTACCGCTACCGCTACCGCTACCGCCGCTGTGTCATCCCTTCAGGTCCGCCGTCACGTGTCTTCTTCAGCCACATCTCGTAGTGTCAGTTACAATAATGCCCCTAGCAATGACTGTAGCTATAATGGGTATTATTCTACGAGGTCAAGATTGCCCTTTATTTTGACACACAGGAAAAAGAAAAAGAAGGACAGTGCAGCAATGGCGGCAAGTTCAGATCCTGCCCCCATTGTTTTCAAGAGAAGCAAATCCACCACTGCTCCTAGAAGAGGTAACATCGAGTCAACTTAAGCTAAATTTATTTTAGTGCGGTACTAGTTGAATCACTTTATCTAAAACTTTAGTTTTCAACAGGTACACATTTCTTGGATGAAAACTTTGCTGAAGATTATAGCCCCCATAAATGGGGGTTTTGGTCATTTCTTTACTTATCAAGAAATTCCAATTCCACTACCAAGAAATCTGAAAGGCCCTCTAAAGATTCAAGCTTTCCATCAGCAACTGCTAGTTCTGTAAGCACTGCAGGATCAACGAGGGACAAGAAAACCAGGGAATTCGTTGTAGTAGAAGAAAATGAAAGCCCTGATGATCAGGCTGCATTTGATAGGAAAGTGTCAAGATCTAGATCTGTTGGCTGCGGGAGCAGAAGTTTTTCAGGGGATTTCTTTGAGAGAATATCGACTGGATTTGGTGATTGTGCACTCCGCAGAGTGGAGTCTCAAAGGGAAGGAAAGTCTAAAATTTCGTCAGCGATGCATAAAAATGGTGGAAATAATAATGGGCAAGTTTGCATTAAAGAGAGAGTTAGGTGTGGTGGGATTTTCAGTGGATTCACCATCAGCTCATCATCATCTTCTTCTTCGTATAGGGCTTCAACCTCGACTGAAGATAATTTGAATGGAAAATCAAGTTCAACAACACCAGGCAGTGTGAGAAATCTTTCTCATGGGAGGAGCAAAAGCTGGGGATGGGCATTTGCAAGTCCAATGAGAGCATTCAGCAAACCTTCTTCTGGAAAGAGGGATTCTTCTGCAAACAAGAATGCCATTCCGAATTTGGCTGCAATTCCTTCCTTGCTGGCTGTGAGAAGCTAAGAATTTTCTTAGTTAACTGAGTAATTAGCTGATACTATTATACATTTAATACATTCTTGTACTATGTTTTACTATGTTATTATTCTGTTTATTTATGTTTCTCTGTGTTAAACCCTTGTTTCTACACTTATGATGTTGTTAGTTCATTGATTTAGTGTCATTTGTTGTTTATATGTGTTATTTTAAGGGTTATGGACTATTTCGAGAATCATCTATGTATTTCAGTGTAAATCCATCTGGTAATTTACTATACCTTTGGTCTAAAATTACCTTTGGTATGAAATTGCTCATACTTTCAATAGGCTGCATTTGATCTAGAATTTTGTGAATAAATTTGTTCTTTTCTTGTTTTCTTTATTAAAAAGGTGTATGGTGATGTAATGGCTAAGTGGGATTTTGTCTGATATTGTTTCAGAAATAACTTTAATATCTTTTATTTTGTTGATGTTGTATAGTGAAAAATTAAAGGACTGCTAAGGGAAAAAGCCTTGTTCGATCCACCATACCTAAGGTGGTAGACTGGTGAAGACTAAAAGCTTAGTCCGTTTGGAAGAATTTATAAACGGTTAAATTTATAAATAGAAATGTGCTGGTACTTGTGGGATACATCGGAATGTGCGATTGAAAATGAAGTTCGATCAAAATGAAAAAAATTTGCCAAACGGAGCCTTAGATTTAGACAGGGAGGTTTAGTGTATGGTCTTGTAAGTTTGGTATTAGAGATGATAGAGGTCCTAAGTTCTGCTGCTACCAATTTGTTCACGTGTTAGGTTCTAAATGGAAAATGAATCTAGCATGCACGTGAAGGGGAGTAAATTTTAGATGAAGTGGTTTAGTAATAGACAATCGGAGTTTGCCTTTTTTCACTTGTTAGAGTTGAGGAGATATTCTAAACTAAGGACGACGAAGAAGAAATATAAATAATCTTCTTTTATCCCATGCAACTAAAGTTCATCATGTTTGTTTACAATGTAAATTTTGATTATGATTGATGATATGATTTCTAACTTTCATGCATGCATAAAAGTCGGCAACTTGCACTTTGTTGGGGTTGGATTTCTTGATGTCTCCATATAGGATTTTTTCTTGTTTGTCTTGGCCAAAAATTTTTAAAAACAAAAAATGAATCATATGTCACTATGTGAACATGTGCAAGGACCCATAGGCATTGTCTTATCAATTGTTAAACAATTAGAAAAAGAAGAAGAATCACTATCAAGCTTTTGAGTCAAACAGTTGGCACATGTTTGGTGGATAAGGACACATTTGAAAGGTATTAAGAATCTAAGCATCTTTTACCTTAGTTAATATCAAATCTTTTGACATCATGTCCAAGTAAACCCAACAGTATGTTTGGTACGCAATGCTAGACTGTAGTAGAGTCATTTTAACATAGTTAGAATTACTCAATTATCGATTCACTTGGACTAATGGGCTCTCTAGCAAGAAGATATAAATCTCGTTATGGCTTGTGAAGATGGGTATTAGGTTGGCTCGCCAACAGCAGATGGAGTGCATTGTAGATATGTGTCGAACATACACGCCCCCATGTGTATACTTCCAACTCGATATAGATTATTATACAAGAAGATGCTTATTTCCTTTTGTCCCGGTGTATTGATTTTTCAAGATACTCTTATTTGTGCCATTCACAAAGTGTATATGTTATTATAGAACTAATTTACAGGGTGTTCTGCCCAGGAGCTTTGGAAAATGGTATGGTAAACTGATAGATTTTGTTCTATTCAGATAAAAAAAATTCCATCATCTCAGTATATCATCCAAATAAGAAGACATAACTCCATCGAGTTATTGGAGAAAGGATAGAAATCCATCTTGACTCCTTTTCGAACTGCTCTTCACCGTGTTTGCACAGCTATTTTCATGACCGATCTTGACAGGAACAAATTTGATATCGAATCCATTCATTTGTCCTTCATATCCCTCGATTTCTTCCTAGAAAAATGTTACATTCACCTGTCAAAACAAAATTTTTTTTTTTTATTGAGAGAGAGAATATGAATCATATGAAGACATAAGTGCAAAACGACATGGAAAAAGGCTGTCTCTGGCAGCACAGAACATGAGAAAATTTTCAGGTGGGGTGAGGAGTGACAACGGTCCAGTTGGTCCCCCTTTCCAATCAAACCGGTTCAAGTCTATTTTAGTTCGGTTTTCTTGGGCCTAAATCATATGAATTCCCAATACACGGTACAAATAGATCTTTGTCGTTTGTATATCCTTTGATCTTTGTTTTGCTCAGGTATGTCCGGTGTACTTGTACATGAATTTTGATTGATAGAATTTACATTTACCGATAAAAAAAAAAAATTATAGTCGATTTCTCCACTTTATCCGTAGCCCACCTCCCCACATCTGCATGCCTATTCGACAAGGGTATACTGAGAATTCGATGAACTTGATTACATAATTTAAAATTCGGGGTTCTTTTCAAATTTCTCTTCCAACTTCTCCCTCCTTAATTATTTTCCTCCAAGAATTTCCATCTTAGAATACAATACTTTTTTTTCATGTAAAGTCGATCATAAATACATACAAAATGTAAATGAACGGCAGCCTGGCCAAAGAATTAATTGCCTTCGTATTAGAGCATGTGCTAGGGGCAGTTTCTGCTTCTTGTTCTGTCTAATCAACCATCAAATTTCTGCTTAAAACACAATCCCTAAAGAAAATCTTTATGTTACTATTCGCATGAATTTTAGCTCAATTTGCTCAAGAAAATCCAGCCAGTGTAAATATGCACTTAAATTCTTGGCCAAAACTAGATGCATTGCTCAATAATTGTCTACATGTGATCTTATGCAGCACAACCAACCTCATCAGGTAGTTGATTTAGCCCAGGTCTATGCTGAGTCGAGTTAGTTAGCTGTGACACGCACGTGCGATTTTTGCCAAACCCACATATCTTGGTATACTTCCCCTTCCACAAATTCAATTCACTTGGCAGCCATACCAAACCTGACCAGATAATAGATCTTTAATAGGTCTGGGTTGGGACTCGGGAGGGGAAAAAGGAAAAGCTCAAGTAGATTTAATACATCTTGAAAATCGCAGAAAAATAGAAAAAGGAAGAAGAAAACAACTTTATGCTGACATTAGAGTAATCTAATGTATTTATTGTGTTAAGAACAACTGACCAAACTTGGTCTCTATAAATTTAGGCGAGTTATACAATTTCTCTTTACCATTCCGTCTAATCAATTATTAGATTTACTAAAAGATTCAAAAGTGTTATATCATCGTTGATCACAACAGATTATGTTAGATTTTATACTCTCTCTTCTCTACTCTCTACCGTAACATGTCCAACTCACATCACTTCATTATTATGACTAAAACCTCTTTAGATCTATGAGAAACATATTGAAACCATCCAAGTCATCGCTGTCTTACTTATCCCCAATCCGGTTCAACTCCACTTATTGACTTGTACTATCTAATTTATCAATGCTTCCATCTAGGGGTGGCAAACAGACCAAGTCATCACCGGCTAGACTCATCCCGGCTTTGCTCGTTTTGAGGCAAGTCATGGGTTCAGTAGAGATACTTTTTTTAAAAAATTTAATTTCTTTAAAGAAATTTCTACTTATTTTTTAGCTTACTTTCGTAACTTTTTTTTTTATATAAAAAAGATTCGACTAGTGGGCGGCTCGACTCGGCCCATGAGGCAAAGGGTCAAGCCTAGCCGAACCTAAAATTTGGACACGAGTTCGAATGTTTAAAGGCCGAGCCGAATTGCATTGCCACCCCCACTTTCATCTATACATCTTCCTTTTTGCCACATTCAATTTATAAAAAGAATTATTCTTTAATTGCAAGCCGAAAAATCTAATTGACATTTGGCATAATAAAATCTATTGACATTTGGCATAATAAAATTATTCTTTAGTTTAGTGCAATTTTCTCTGCAAAGGGGAGGGTTTGGTACTGACTTTAACACAGAGTGCAGTGAAAATTGGTTTTGGTGCAGTTATGAGAGTAAATTTGGTCACATTTTTGGATGAGCATTGAAACATATTCATCAGTACTTGGTTGTCCTCAACGCGATATATAATTGAGAAATTTTCACATGCACTGATCAGATTGTCAGGGTTCAGTCTAGCAATTTATTTGGACCACCATTTTTTTTCATTTTTGGATAAGAAAAAATTGTGCTTTTACTCACATTGTGAGTTCTACGTGTATAATGTTCTACAGTATGCAGAATTTTTTTTGTTCTTTTATTTCTTAATGGTAATCAGTAATATCTAACTTCCTTGCAGAACATAATTTAAATCGCTCATGAGGCGTCATTGTTGAAGAGGTTTCGACTAAGCATAATACTAGAAAAGTTACTTTTCCAAGAAGTACTCATTGCGAACTTACTGAAAAAGTTACTTTTAAATTACTTAAGCATAATGAAACATGCTATTTACAAATCTGATGTATGAATTCTCATATAGACTTGAGATTCATCTACTGCAGTTTTTGTTCTGTGAGGAGGTGAAGCACTTAAAAAAGTTGAACTGAGTTGTGAAAAAGGAAATATATTGAAAAAATACTAAGCAAATAATTAAACATTCTTAACACGACCTGTGTTGCACAAAGTTGTTACGCAAAACTCGACTACAACACCTTATTGCAAGTTATTGCCACAATTTGGAAATAAAAACTACTTATAATCTGAAAATGGACATAACAGAGAGAACTGTTTAACCAGCTGCAGATGGAAATTTGACAGTTTTCTTGCAGTGGAAACCATATATCCTTATTAGTTGAGGAGAGGAAGGAACTGGAAACTAGCAGGAACTATCTCTGCTATATTCAGAAGTCCAACAAGGGTTGTTCGGACAAACTTTAACGACGAAATAAGTCCTCCGACTGATGGCAGGTTTGCATTGCAAGTCGAAAGAGGTGTCTTAACCACCAGGCTGCAGTTGGATAGTAAAGTGGAGAGAATGTTTAGTAGTGGATTTAATGCGATCGAAAATTGTCCAGAGCTATTGGTGGTTGCACTAGCTACTATATGTCCAGCCCCACATTGCAACTGCACCAGAGCATCTGTAGGGAAACAGAGTAATTTTAGTTTAAGTACAAGGTTTTACAGAACAAGTGCATGAAGTTTTTTGACGTGTACCACAATTGTGACAAAATTGTAATACACAGCTAGAAATAGGAGGAGCCTACAAGTTATCATCGCTACTAATAGAATCTTTAAGAGAATCATCGACACATTTAATGGAAGTCTCACCTAGGCATGGTTACTGCACGTTTATTGTGGTCAAAAAAGAAGGAAACGAAAAAAAAAAAGATGATAAAATATGAGCAGCAAAGCCTGGAGTCTGGACTATGTATATACACAATCTTACGAATAAATGACACTTAAAAATACAGAAAAGTATCAAGAAATCGAGAAATACGATTAGTGTTTGGAAGGTAACATAGTTTGAATCATTAGTTCTTTGACTTAGGAAAAAACTTACTAGGGAAAACTGGTGTTGAAGTGCCATTGAGACCTATATTGCCATCGACAGTGCAAAATACAGTCCCATTGATACTTATTAGGCCAAGAAGGTTACCAAGAAGTCCTTGTTGGGCTTCTACAAGTACTGGTGCTATTATTGCAACAGCCATTAAAATTATTAAGAGATTTGGTTTAAGGGCCATGGTGTCTCTGGGATAATAAAAGTAGAAAGGCAAAAGCTACAGATTTTGCTACAAATTAAGGGCTAAATGCAGCCAATTTATAGGAAGCGTTGCGCAGTGCGTCTTGGATCAAAATTTTGTGGACTAAATTAGAAGTTCTTGTTTTTTACGCAGTATTAAAAAAGAAAAAGAAGCTAAAATTGTGTCAGCTGTACTGTTTTCTCCTATTTAATACTACGAACCAAACATGCTAGGCAAGTTTGAATAAGGGATTGTATGAACTGTGTTTAAAGTCAAAAGAGAAGGTTTGGTAGGTTTTTTTCCTCAAGATTTGCCTCTCAAACTTGAACTAGCATATGCAGTTGACCATCACCTTGCAAGCCTAATTTGTGGGCTTCACTCTAGAGGTAGATCTACTGCACTCCCTAACATTCAATAGCATGCTTTATTTGGCCTCTATAAGGAAATTCTTCTTTCTTTCTCTTTCAGAACCAAGTGAATGGTCCATTTAGTGCAACTTGCTAGAATTTGACTCGCCTCGAAAACTCGAAATTTAAGTCCAGAACATATCTATACTACTTATTTCAGTAGAGTTTAGAGATTTTCTGTTCATTATATGATTTCTCTGTTTGCTTTTCTAGTCATGGTTGATCAGATTTCAAATTCAGTATGGGATTGATTGATTTCTTTGATTCGAGTACTTCCGTGTTACTGATCCGACAGTGGAAAAAAAAACTTTCACTACAAATGCAAGAGGAATAGAACAAGCAAACTGGGACAATGCACGCCTTTATCGGCAGGAAAGGTGGTGGGAGAATCTGACTGTCGGAGCAATTGGTCCAAGAAAATCTCCACTCCCTCACTCCCTCTTGCTCAGGAAACTTGCAAGAATGAAGCAAATGACAGTAGATAATATCATTTTGATATTATGAATCGAAGGTGTAATTATTAAGTGCCGAACTCGATCTAAATTTTATAGTCCATGGTCGGTAAATAAAAATGAACACTTTATTTTGATAACATCATCTCAATTTTATTAAAATCCATCTTCGACATTCTCAATTAGATTGCAAGTACATTTTGAATGTACCGAATTGAACAACGTGAAATTTAATTTGTGGCATTAACCACACGATTTTAATTTTACTTGACTATCGTACGTGGGACCGTAATCCTATACAGGCGATGAATTAGATAACTTGGAAATTCTTTGATGTATCAATTGTTGATATCAAATTGCTCGTCAATATTTGGTGCCTTGAAAATTAAAGTGACACCCACATTATTTTTTTTCATTCTCATTCTTCTGCTCATTTTCAACCACACATTCTTCAATAAAATAATATTTTTCATCACATCAATAACTTTTCCTTCATTTTCAACCACATATTCACATCACATCACTTCAAAAAAATGCATTCTCTCATTTTAATGTGCACCAAACGAGCTCATATTCTATCATTTATTCAATGGGCACGATCATGAACTCAAAGGATAGTGGACAGTAAAAATTTGAGCTCAGTAATTTAACATTAATTGTTGAATTAATATTGTTACGTGATTAAATGGAACCGTTACATAGAAAATGAAATTTGAGGATTTGTGTATATTTGGAAAAATGACATTTCGGTTATTTTAACCTTGTTCTAATAATTGATTATACTTTCTTGTTTAATTCCTCTAAAAGAATGAGATTACATGCACTCTCAATTTAACCTAAATTTTTGAAGTTGTCTAATTAATAATTATATTATTTGACTTAGCGTTCTTAAGTATTATCTTCGTCCATCATTTCGAATATTCACTACAAGGTTGAAATGATCAAAATGTTATTTTTCAAATATTTGTGAATTCTCAAATTTCATTTTCTATTTAGCAGTTCCGTGTGGTCATATCACGATATTATTCAACAATAAATGTCGAATTATTGAGATCGAATTTAATTGTTCATTAAAAAATCCTTTTGAGGTCAAATAGGCGATATTTCATATAGTGAATATATGCTCTCCATCCATTATTTCATTTTAATTCTCAAGACATCGAGATATTAACCAACAATTTGATCTTACTCATTGATATCATGAAGAACTTCAAATTCATAATCGAATTCCATTAGCCGCTCAGTATTAAGGTCCTACATAAATTAAATTCTTGTGGTCAAGTTAAAAATTAAATTTTATGTGATCCAATAAAATACATTCAAAATGTTCTCCAAAAGATGAACGAAAGTAAAATTGAAACGTTATTATCAAAATAAAGTACTCATCTTTATTTACCGACCGTGGATTATAAAATTTAAATCGAATTATAAATTAGAAATTTTCGTATTTAACAACTTAAGCACTTCATCAAATTAATACAAATAATTATCCAAAAAAAAATAAAATATTTCATTTCAAATGTAGTAAACACAAATAAACTTACTCACGGGTAAATACGATCTAACACCCAAAATTGAAGATTTTAGGGTTTGATCATTTTATGGCTTTTCTTTCTTGCTGTCATTAACTGTAAATGCTATTGATTTTGATCATTACTGGGGTGTCTATATCTGGAATTTTTGCTTCATACATTGTACAATTTAAAAATTTAGACACGATCAATCTTTCTTTTTGATCAAGAAAGATTATAAATTTTCTTAGTTTTGTTCAACGAGCCTTTTATAATCTTATTTAACATACTCTCATTCGTAACATTAATTCAAAAAGGATATTGACACGAAAAAAGGGAAACGGTGGGTGATCGAAAGTAATCGTCTTTTGCCACGGCCATCAAATTTTTGGAGTGAAAAGGAAGCTCTCTTCCCTTCAAAAAAAGAGTCAAAATCCCAATTTTATTTCGATTCCTTGCAGAAAAGCATTTATTTATTCACTAAGAACATGTTTCGTAGTTGTACTGAACATAACAACATAGTACGCGAGATTTTAACTTCTTTTATTTCTTAATATTGTCGACTTAAAATGATATGACTTCATAAAGAAGTTACGTGCAAATTGAAAGATTCTAAGGCGACCGATTTAGCGAATTATTCCATGAATAGTACGGAAGCCACTCCATTACACTGGGATGAGTTGAAACCCTGTTGGAATTATGTTACCGACATTCAAAATCCCGAGAAGGGTGTTTCCGATGAACTTAAGGGTCGATTCTAGGGTTCCGATTGATGGTAGGCTTGCGTTGCACGTGGCAAGAGGCGTGCCCACAACGAGCTTGCAGTTGGACAGCAATGTCGAAAGAAGAAAGTTTAGAGGGTCTAAAAGCATAGAAAATAATCCAGAGGCATTTGTTGTTGCACTTGAAACCACGTTTCCATCTCCACATTGCAATTGCACAAGAGCATCTGCAAAGAGTTACAATTCGACTTTCTTAGAAAACTAAATGTAAAATGATATTTCATATGCAAGAATATAAAGAAAACACATTAATATCAACGGAAAATTCGCGTTGATGATTCCGTCTCATATTTTCCCATCCGATTGAACTTACTAGGGAAAACTGGAGTGGCTGTGCCATTTACACCAATATTGCCATTAGGGGTGCAATACAAAATGCCTTGGATTCTAAGCAACCCTAGAAGATTGCCTATGATTCCAAGTTGTGCTTCAGCCATTGGGAATGCAATGGCAGCAAACAAAATGCTAACAAAAATAAGAGATTTTAAGGCCATTAGTTTTGTGGTGATGAAGAGAGATTATGCAGCTAAATTATTGTTTGCTTTGAGCTGAATTGCTTGATCAAACTAGCATACCAGCTACCAGCTATTTATAGAACTAAAAAAGAAGGTCACTTTATGGATTTTTATACCACCACACCTTTTTTCGTCAATGCTTACGTCTCTGTTAAGTTATGTTGTCTATCGTTGTAGACTTGGCGAGTGCACAATTTTGATACGTAAATAGGCACTGTTAATACTTTAACATGAGACTTTACTCGATTTGATACCATGTTGATTCACATGATCTAAAAGTTTTATTTGTTAAGAGAGGAATATATATTTATTTTTATTTTGTTCTCAACACGCCCCTTCCTTGAAATCTGGCTTCAAATTTTCAACGAATGCCTAACTTATACACAATTTTCATAAATAGATAGAGGCAAAAGTTAAACGCAAAATCTTTAATACCATATTGAACCGCACAACCTTAAAAGTAAGTTATTAGAGAAGAAACACGTTTATGTATTTATGTTGAGTCTTCAACACATCATCTCACTAGTTAACCGAATACTTTATTTCATTAAAAACCTATCACGTGCATGGTTTTTCTAAAAAGTTACGTTGAAACTTGAATTTAATATCTTTTTTCGTTCTAATATCTTGTTGATTGGGATGGAAACAGGGTGGGGTGGGGTGGGGTAGGTCGGGGCAACCTCCCTCGCCCCCCGCCTCATCGGGCAATTCTCTTTCCCGCATCCGGCCCATTACCCGTTTAAGGTTGTCTCGTTTATTACCAGTTTAATTTTTTTTTATTAAATTTTTGATAATTCATTTTATTATCCCCATTCATTAAAGTGAGATAATATTACATTTTTTATTTTTAAAAGTAAAATTATTTTATTTTATTTGGTAAACTAAGGCTTTTATCGTTTGTCATATTTCTTAGATAATTTTAGTTGTTATCTTCTATTAGAACTGATGAAATTTTGTGGAGTTTGCTATTTAAATTAAAGTTAAAAAAATTAAAAGAAACGGGACAATGTGGGGCCTTGTTACCCATACCCTCCCCGGGGCAAAGTCCCCCAACCCGAATACCCGTTTAAGCGGGTAATCCTAGCCACATTCGGGGTGGGGCCTCACGGCTATCGAATTTGGCTAATTTTTTTGACATCCCTACCCATGTGTTATCTACAAGTAAATTTTTTTTAAGTCAATGGATACAAGTTGTAGATTTGTTGTTTGTCTTCTCTTTACCCATATGAAATTGGACTGTTTTGTTCTGCACCTCATGATCCATTTTTTGTGGGCTTCACCTACAAACCCAACTCTATTATGACTTTTAAAGGGGGAGGCGTTTTTTGAAAATTTAGCCGCATGAAAGCCACCTTTTGTAATTCTATCAAACTTGAGTTGTATAAATGGTCCAAGTAGCTGCCGCTAGATGCAAAAAGAGTTGACAAAAATGACAACAACTTCTTCCCCTAATCTTCCAAGAAAAATTGGGAAAAAGTAAGTTTAGACGAATCGAGTTGGCTTGGTCCAAACCAGAAAAGGTGTAGAAATTTTTAAACAAGCCTAATAAATATATTTATGGGAAGATTACATATTCAAGAAAATAAGTTGAACCTATTTTAAAAATAAGAAAAAAAGTTTGAAATTTCCCAAATCAGATTTTTATTAAAAAAATTTAAATTTTTATTTATTCAATAATAAATTATTAAATTAATTTATTATTAAATATTTAATTATAATATAATATAATTAACTCATCCTACCTTCACCACCTCTACTGCTCCGGCGACCATTCCGATCACTGCCCTACTTGAGCGAACTTTCCGACGATCGTTCCGACGACTACTTCGATTCCGGCGACCGTTCCGATGACTATTCCGGCGACCGTTCCAGCGTCGATTTTTCCGGCGACTGCTTCACTATTTTTTTGTACGGTTAACATGTTTTTTTTACGGTCACAACCCAGGTCACAAGTCACAGCCCATGTCACAAGTCACAGCTCAGGTTACAAGTCACTAGTCAAGAGACACAACCCATATCACAAGTCCTAGCTCAGGTCACAAGTCATAAGTCAAGAGTCACAGCTCAGGTCACAAGTCACAAGTTATAAATTTATTCGAGATCACAAATCAAAAATTTTATAGACCACAGTTTATTTTTCGGTCACAACTTAATCAATTGTGAGTCACAGTTTGAATTTTAAGGTTACAAATTATCAAATTTTAAAGTCACGGTTTAACCATCTCACTAGCAAGACTGACACCCACCGCCACACGCACACCACAACCTCCCAGCACCCAACACCACAACCTCACGGCAAAACCACCACCGCACACACCGTCTCCCGAATCCAGATGCAGCACTTCCAACTCTCATTTCACTACCAGCACCTCTCGTCAACCACAATAGCGCCATCATATCCGCCACATTCAAAACCAAAACACAAATCTGGCCAAAACACATTCAAAACCAAAACACATTCAAAACCAAAATTTGCGACCTTAGTGAAGTAATGAACTCCACTATCAGATTTAACATTTGAAATCGTAAGCTGGTCCTTCCATTTGAAAATAACTTGCTTCTTCAATTAGTTGGGTTTCAGTGTGACCGTAGGCCGTGGATGGCAGATCGCCACCAAATCCAGCCAAACTCCTATCATTTCACGATCGCTTTAAAAAAGAAAAAGGCGACGATGAGAGGGGTGGTCGTCTCGTAGCAACGTGAGGGCGGCTGTGACGTCGCTTCAATGGAGGAAAGTGACATCGCCGGCAGATATGGGAGGCGTTACAAGCATCAACGTCGCCGGTGAAGGAGAAGAGAGAAGACAAAGACGGACGGACGGAGAGGAGAGAAGCGGGACGAGGAGAGATGGAAATGAATTTTAGGTTTGGTTAGGGTTGAAATTAATTAGGATGCAATTTTATAAATAATATTTAATTAAATATGAAATATTTGATTTTTGAAAACTTAAACTTATGGTCTAATTTTTGAGTATGGATTTTGAAAAGCAGTGTTTTATGTAATTTGCACTATATTTATTTCCATGTGAATATATAAAAATCTAATGGTAATTCAAATATTTCATTTTATTTTCAAAGAGTGTTTGGTGTAGATTAAAATCGAATTTTAAGTGAATTGTGACAAAAATTTTTGAAATATATGATTGAAAAAATGTGAAACTCATGAAAGATATTGATATTAATTGTTTGACTTTAATTTAGATTAAAATTTGATCCAAACATGCCGTCAGTACACACACTATTTATTGATATTGAGTTGAGCATACAAGATGCCGCTGAGCAATTCCAAGAACAGCCTCGTGAATAAAAAAGAAAAGAAGTACTGCCTTGTGTTCGACGTACAAGCGAATAATATTCTTTAATATTAAATTTATAGCGTGTTTGATTGATATGTAAAATATATCTTATAAAAGAAAATATTTTCCTTCAAAAAAAAAAGAAAATTAAGTATATTTTTAAAAGTTCGAAAATATTTTTATGGAAATAAATAGCAATCAAACACTTGAAACTAAAAATAAATGCAATCAAAGACACCCTTAGAAGATTGCCATTGCTATACTTTTTGTTATCCAACCTAATCCCACTTCAATCTCCACATAATGTTATACAACTGAGTGTGTAAAGGACTATCTTTTGAATGTTATTCCACCATGATACCATCAACTTAGTTCTATCCATTATAACAATTTTATACTAAATTCTTTATAAAACCTAACGTCCATGATTAGGAATTAACTACTAGAATTCATACAAGTTTGTTATCTGCTAAAAACAGAAGTACAAGACACTAAAACTGGATGATCCTTTCGTGCACAAAATATTCACTAAAACAAGCACAAAAAGAGTGTTTTATCCACCCTTTACACAACAAATTCTAATCTTCTTCCCACCACACTTGATATAAACACAATCTCTGGTTCCTCATAGACAAGAAACAAACTACAATTCAGGCAAGTCTAAACTACATTAAACAATCAAGATTCTCTTCAAATGGCACTAAGTTTACGGCAAATTCTTCCTGACCTTCTCACCATCAGCAATCACCGCATGGTAATGGTTTTAATCTTATTCATAACCACACTATATCTCGCGTACAGGAAGAAGATTTCAATATACTTACTCGACTACACTTGCTACAAGCCACCTTCATTCTATCGCCTACCCCTGTCCATGTTTGTAGAGCACATTCTGCTCCACGAACAATTTGATCAAAACAGTTTGGCATTCCAAATTAAAATTCTGGAAAAATCAGGTTTCAGTGGAGAAACCTGCATTCCTCCATCCTTAAGTCAACTTCCCATAACAAAGTCTCTTGCATTCAACAAAGATGAAGCTACAACAGTAATCTTCACAGTAGTCAGGGAGTTGTTAGAGAAAACCAACATAAACCCTAAAGCCATAGATATATTGATCATGAATTCTAGCATGTTTTCACCTACACCTTCACTCAGTGCAATGGTTATTAACAAGTTCAAAATGAGGAGCAATATAATGAGTTTCAATCTTTCTGGTATGGGATGTAGCTCAGGAATTATATCAGTAGGTTTAGCTAATGATCTTTTACGAGTTCATAGAAACTCGTTGGCACTTGTTGTGAGCAGTGAAATCTTGAGTCAGAACTGGTATACTGGGAAGGATCGTTCAATGTTGCTAACCAACTGTCTATTTAGAATGGGGGGTGCTGCAATTCTAATGTCTAGTCGAGATCGGGACAGGAAGAAATCAAAGTACGTGCTACAAAACCTTGTAAGAACAAATCGAGCAGAAGATGATCAATCTTATGCGTGTGTTTTCCAGGAGGTTGACAATGAAAACAAAGTAGGAGTGTCCATATCGAAGAACGTCTTGAATGTAGCAGGAGAAGCATTAAAAACAAACATGGTTTTGTTAGGTCCTATGGTCTTGCCATTGACAGAACAATTTCAATATGGGTTGTCCTTAATGTTGCAGAAAATGAAGATTTTAGGCAAGAAAAGCATCTATATACCAAATTTCAGAAAAGGGTTTGAGCATTTCTGTATACACGCGGGAGGAAGGGCTGTTATTATGGCGATAGAGAAAAGCCTTAAATTGCAGAAAGAAGATGTTGAAGCCTCAAAAATGACTCTGCATAGATTTGGGAATACGTCTTCCTCTTCTATATGGTATGAACTTAGTTATACAGAAGCCAAAGGGAGAATGAGGAAAGGTGACAGAATATGGCAAATTGCATTTGGAAGTGGATTCAAGTGTAACAGTGCAGTATGGAGATGTGTATGCAACATCAAGCCTGAGAAAACTAATGCCTGGATAGATACTATCGACTTGTATCCAGTTGACGTGCCAGATACCTTAGAGATATAGTTTGATAAAAGGTAGCCAAGTCAACATATATTTCATGACTATTTGTAATGATGAGACTTATTTCAACCTTTGCCGGCAATATGTAATAATGACAATGAAATATAAACCCCAATATGGGGATCTGAGACTATCCTAGAGAAGAGAATCTTGGCTTTTGCGAAACACTGTGACATAGAAGTTGGCATTCCAATACTGGAGAGTTTGATATCAGTTATGCACTGAACAGACACAGGCACATTTCTCTGCTTAGTAACTCAACAACAAAAAGGCATTCAAGCAATTATAACAAGGTATAAAGGACTCCCACAGGAAAATGAAAGAAAAAGATTACCACAAACAATAGAAGTATCCGAAACTCCAAATTATCTTTTCTCCATCGAACAAAAATCATTACCCATGGATGCCTGCCCTCCCACATCTATTCCCTAATTTGCTTGTGATTGCTTATTTTTTTCCGTCTTCTCTGAAATCGACTGTATTTCAATTAAATGGGGAAGGTGGGACTTCAAGAGTAATACCAGCTTGAATCTGGCCCCAACCAATCAGACGCCAGTGCTTTTCGATTCTTCGGCTAAGAGCAATTTTCTCACCTTTGCTGGTGCACACAGGAGATGTGAGTTGTAGCTTTGCAAAAACATTCTTGACGGCAATGACTCGAGCACCTGTTGACATAGATCCTATGTTCAACATAAGAATCTCTCCCTTAGCCAGCTTCGAGACCTTACCTTGCCTCTCTGAGTCCTTTGTCCTCACACCCAATAGCCGCCTCAGCAAAAAGAAATTAACCTGCATTAAAGAGAGAAATGTTGAGCGGTAAATGAATCCAACTAATATGTAATAGAGAATCCATCACTTGTTGTAAGTATTGGATGGAAAAGGCTTAAGGAAGAATTCAATTTTCTTAAAAAGGTTATAATAAATCACTAGTCTTACAGCTAGGATGCAGGTCTTACCAACTTCACTATATATGTAATTAAAAGCATATAGAAGTTATTTTCTTGCACCAAGACATACCTCCAGTTCAACAAACACCTCGGGAAGTGAACCAACCTCTCCAAGAACCTGTCCCACCAACCTATCAGCACGTGTAAGTGTAGGATCCATAGTGGTTCCGACCCCAATGAGGCCTCCAGGCACAGCAAATTGGAGTTCATTTTGCTCAGCATACAACGAAACTATTCTAGAATATATTGGGGTACATTTGATGTTTCCATTTTCGTCCTTACCGACAATACCAGGACGCACCTCAATTAATTGATTCACCTTCAAAACACCCTGCTTGCTCCGCATACAATGAAACTATTCTAGAATATATTGGGGGGCACTTGATGTTTCCATTTTCGTCCTTAACGACAATACCAGGACGAACCTCAATAAATTGATTCACCTTCAAAACACCCTGCACAAATAATCAATCAGCTCCTTTAGTCGCTGGCCTTTTACAATTTAAGTTGCTCGGGTCCATTTGCTGATGAAGCAGAGAGTGGGAGGAAAAATCATAACACATAACTTGGAGAAAACATCACAGGATTTTCAGCTTTGTATTAAACCAGAATATTATCAGCATGATTGATATTCCAGGGAAAAGTTGGACAAGCAGTTTTATCATAAAAGAGGCCAGTAGTAAAAAATAGAAATCTTTTTAATTGCAATCATTTCAGTAACAAATAAATATACCTTCAGAATACTACCACCAGCAACCCCGCCTCTAATTTCATCAACTTCAAACCCAGGCTTATTGACGTCAAAAGATCGGATGACAATCATATTTGGTGGTGAAATGAAGTTCCTCTCTGGAATGGGGATTTTTTTCACTATATATTCACATACAACATCAATATTATACTTGAGCTGTGCAGAGATTGGTACCACTGGTGCACCATCTGCAACAGTTCCCTGAGAGCATAAAATGGAAGATTGTCTTATATATGAAAGTTAATGTAATATACCAGATTTTATAAGATATGCATCACTAACCTGAATAAATTTCTGAATGGCTTCATGCTGGTTGATTGCAACATTTTCCTGAACTAGATCAACTTTATTCTGAAGAATGATTATATGTTGAAGGCGCATAATTTCAACAGCTGCTAAATGCTCTGAAGTCTGAGGTTGGGGACAGCTCTCATTGGCAGCTATGAGTAGCAAAGCCCCATCCATAATTGCCGCTCCATTAAGCATTGTAGCCATGAGAATATCATGACCCTATGGGTATTCGAATCAGCAACAGAACATATCATCAGGAACAAAAATAATCTTGAAGCCCAGAGACAAGACTAGTACATAATATTCTATGGAAACAAGATACATTAAGTGAAAATTTAGATGGCATCATTACAAGAATTGTTTAGAGAAATAAATAATGTAGAAGTTTTTTGAGAAATGGTAATTGAAAAACTGACCGGGCAATCAACAAAAGAGACGTGTCTTAGCAGTTTCATCCTAGAGTTTTCAAACCCAGGCACATCACACATTGGGCTATCTTCTTTTCCACTTCCATATGCCCTGAAAAGAAATTGATATTTGAGCATAACAAACAAGACCTGAGAACAAAGCACATCAACTAATACAAATCCATATTTAAGGACTTACTTGTAGCACATAGGTCTGGGACATCGATCATCTTCACATTTGTATATCTTCGCGTTGGCATATCCAAGCTTGATGGTAATATTACGTTCCAGCTCATTTTTAAAACGAACAGTCTACGGATAGAAGGCATTTAAGATGATAAGAACTTCAAATGCCTCCCCAGTTAATTTTTGCAACTTAAATTTATAATTATTGATAACAATAATAAAAGTATACCCATAAAAATAAGGATTTCGTCTGAAAAACTCTCTTACAAGGGAGAAGGAAAAATAGTCTTAAATGACATTTTTCTAAGTATCATCAAACAACTAAAAGCCCCAAAATATCCAGCATATGGTTATAATTTGTCTCCACCAGCCGAATCCTTTTTCCTTTCTCATCCTTTGGCTGCTCCAACATGCCCATTATTTTCCTGTCTCTCACGCCCATTTCTATATTGTCCTCGAAGGCTCCCTCTATCTTCTTTTCCTTCTCTCTTTTTTTTCCCAGTTTGCTTCTTCCCTTACTGTGTCCTCCTCAAACTCTGTTACCTATCTTTCAACTTCCTTACATGTCATTTCTCCAGTTTTTGCTTCACAAAATTTCTTGGGGCTTAAAAATGGAGTAGCTATTTCATAGAATGTTGCGAGATTGATGCCCAGATGCTTAAAACCATTCCAATGAGAAAAGGAGCAATACCTAGTTGAGGAATGCTTTTGAAATACTGAAAGTTAGCATTTTTGGGGATGGAATGTGCAGAATTTGAGAAGGCACACGTGTTCAATTTGGTCAAACCTTGGGTCTATTTGATCAGCTTCGGACTGCATTTTTCGGATCCCGAACTGTGGACGTTTAGACTTGAATTGGTTTCTAAGGTCCGGTCCGGGGTTGAGTTGACACCCTAGTTGAATGGATTGGAAACGACAAAAAGGGTCACATCTAATATAAGGATATTTAAGACATTTTATACAATAGCAATGTCTTTTGAACAAACAATTTAGAAACAAGGCATTCTTGCTGTGTCCATTGTGAGGCGGCCTTTTAGCAAACACCATAATAGGAGATTTGGAATAAGCTATATAGGTACAAATGGTGCCAAATCAATACAAGCCGTCCACAAACAGAAGATTTAAAGAATGTTATCACTTAAACAAAGTTACACAAGATTCCATAAATATTATCATGAAAGGACTTATCTAAAGCGACAATTGAGCTTGACTCATAAAGTTATACACAAGGTTATAGCCTCAAGGAGGGAGGCCTCGTAAAATACTTGTGTTAATGGCTTAGATAAGTATTGGCCACCATTTGTTTACTTTTACAATACAAAGAAATTATAAAGCATTAACCAAATTGAAGCTAAACTTAATTTACAGCTGCAAGAATGTGTTTCGATCTCACTATGAGCATGTTTGGCTATGCTTAAAAATAAGTAAATGTTTCCTACCGTGTCTAAACATGTTATCTTTTTCTCTTTAGTGAAAAAATTTGCTCATTTTATCAGTAAAACCTTACCTTACTGAAAGAATAAGTAAATATTTTCAACTTCAACCAATAAAAAATACTAATTAGTTTAAAACTCACTTATTTACTTATAAGCAAACGTTTTAAGCCCGGGAAAACATTCTATGTACTGACTGAAAAATATATAGGCATATCATTCAAGAGAAAAACAGTTGTACCTGGACTCCAGATATGGCTTTCACCACTGTTGATTTCCCATGAGCCACATGACCAATGGTACCTTCAAGAACAAAAATAAAATGGGAATTGATTCAATGAATAAATAAACCTCAAAGCAGTCAACAAGTTGACGATAAAAAAATCTCGTATAAATATCATACTCAACAAGTGCATGAAGAAAGCCATTTAGAGTAAATTTAACGTAAGCATACCAATGTTGATTGTAGCCTGACGAGAAATAACCTCAGGTGAGAGTGGATGAAGTTTTGTCACATCCAGCTTGCTTAAGTCCTGCTCCATCAAACCTTTTTTAGACATTTTGACAGTTCTTAATGGATCTGCAATGAATAAAAAGATGCAAATTATTGTAAGGATAAAAAGAGTACTACTTCAGAAACTAATTAAGTTAGTTAAGTTATTCAGGGCCTAAAATATCAAAGCCATTCAATTATTACATTATGTCCAATTACGCTTCAATAAGGTTTCAAATTTCTATGAAGGAAAAGTTCCAAGCACCCACGATACAAAATGCAACCAGTTTCAACCTTCAACACACAACTTCCTCATAGACAACCAAGAGATTAGAGTACATAAAAGGAAAATTTATCAAAAACTGTATTATGGAGATTGTTGAAAAATTTGAAACTCCCCTTCAATTAAAGCCTATAAAATTGATCAACTAAAAAGAGATCCATTCATTTATCTTTGATACTATAATTGTTCTCTCACTTCACTCCCCGAAAAGA